GAGGAAGCCTTGTTATCGATAAAAATCTTATTTTCAAAATGTGCAAATAAATAAATTTTAATGTAAGAAAATAGAAAGAAGTTAAACCTTTTCAAAGAAAACAGTGCAAAAATTTGATGCTTAGTGTTATTTGTTACGCATTCAATTTTTAAAGCAATATGAGCTGCAAATTTGATGTCGGAAATTTTTGCTGCAGTTTTGTAATTAACTATTTCAATGACAGAAAGAAGAAACTTATAAACTTTTATTTTTTTATATTCGTGAAGAAAGAACTAATTTTAAGCTTTGATTAAAGCAAAATTACATTATTGTCGTCCTGTACAATATTGATTTCTTATACAATACTATACATTCCAGTGTACAGAAATTTTTCTTCTGAAACAATTTAATACATTATTTTAGATTAATTGATCATAAAGTTTTAAGTTACATACTGATTTATCATAAAGATCACATTTTAACAGAATAAAATTCTCAAAAAATGCAGCTCATATTGCTTTAACGTTTTCATGTTTAGACAACGTAACGTCAAAAATAGTTTTACTTGCAAATGTGCCATTTTTAAGGAAAATACAAATATGTCATCAACAGAATAAAATATTTATTAGTGTAAAAAGAATGAAAGAAGACAAGATAATCCAAAAAAAAAAAAAAGAAAGAAAAGATTCTCGCAAAAAAAGTCAGCATTTCTGATTAGAATGTTTCAGTACACTTTAAGCGTTTGAATGACGCTATTTTGACTTTACAAAATGGGCCCCGATTCCATGCGCGGCGTCATTATACTCAGAGGATATGTATTTGCACTAATCTTAAATCTAACCATTCTTCTATGAAAATTAAACTTACAGTTATTTCATTTTTTTTAAAATTTTTATTGTCACATTTTGATAATAAAATAAATTTAAAAAAAAGGGGGGGGGGGGGTAAGAGTTATCATTCATTGATAAAAGTGATTCATCATTGTAAGACAGATCATGCCCTTGATTACCACTTCAAAGTTTGTTAACTTTTCAAAAAGATATCTTGAGGGATTGAAAAAAGAAAAAACAACAATTGAATTTATGCAAAAGAAAAAAAAATGTTTTGAAACGTATTTTATTAATTTATTTTATTCCTTCCGAGTAACGTTTTTATGTATTTTTTTTCCTTTTGAAAATGCCTTTTTCATTCGATGGCAGGGTGTTAATATTTAGATCAAGGTTGCAAAACCATGCTTATATGTTTATACATGTATATCAGGTATTTTATTGTGTCCAGATGATCATATGCCCAGTGTCATTAGGAACAATCATTCTCTATCGATCAAGCTTGAGAGGCTTTGCAACGATCTTCTTAAATGATTTTAGTTGACTAGAAATAGTAAAAGATTGATTGATTGAATGTTGTTTTAAGTCCCATTCGAGAATTTTTCACTCATATAGAGACCTCATCATATACCGGTGAAGGGCTTCAAATCTTAACCTTTAATCGGCACTTAGGGCCATTGAGCAGTGAGGGATCTTTATCGTGCTAACGCCTGCCGTGACGCAGGACCTCGGTTTTTAAGGTCTCATCCGAAGGACACGCAATTTTCACTTCAAAGTGCCGAGCGCATGGCGAAGGAACAGTTGCTACCCATTTTGTATCGACGTAGGTCAGTCTTGGCCGAGATTCGAACTCACGCCCTCCCCATCACGAAGAGAGCGCTCTACCGACTGAGCTACCGTGAACGGTGAAATAGTAAAGGAAGTGATATTAAAGCAACGTTTAAGCCGTTGATAATATTAACTCTCCTCATTTAGTTAAGAGAAAGAAATTCAATATATATTTAACATTTGCAAATATTTTTATTAGATGAAGCTATTGAAGATTCTATCAATTCTGTATGAACTTATTAGGGGGTCAGAGATCATAGCTAGACCGAATCACTCGGGGAGATGAGATCTTTCCTACGCAATTCTGTCACCGTGAAACTGGTTTGGGAACTTCCAGCTTGATTGATTAATTGATGGTTTGTTGATTACGTCCCATTCGAGAATTTTTCACTCATACAGAGACTTCACGATATACCGGTGAAGGGCTTCAAATTTTTACCTTTAATCGGCACTCAGGCCCATTGAGCAGTGAGGGATCTTTATCGTGCAAACGCCTGACATAGGGGCATCCGTAATTAAAGACGAAATCAATCCCAGAAAACTTTTTGCAAAGTAAAAAAATAAATAACCGCTGGTTAAAATAAAGAGGCCAAATAAGCAGGCACGTTTGTCTAAATACAATTATGCACCGTCGCTTGTGAGTTAACTCAGTTAGCTCAGTTAACCTGTCGATTATACTATCGATGACAGTGACAGTTTTAAATCATTAAATTAAACAGAGGTTATTAAAGATTACGAAACTCACTTGGAAAGATGTAATTTTAATTAAGGCAAATCTCGTACTATTTTTTTTCCTAGCTAGTGTGCATCACGAGATTAATATAAATTCAAGTTAGGACTAAGAGATATTTGGGGATGGACCTGCTCCAAAAACTTCAACCTGTCCACCCATTCAAACAAGAGGCATATGGGCCACATCGCTCACCTGAGCACAATGGTTAGGAAAAACGCAAAAATCAGTTCAGCATTGAAAAGTTTTCGCAAGGGGGGGGGGGGGGTATATAATTAACACTACCTCACGATGCTTTCATATTATTATTACTAATAATACCTTTGTTCTTGAGCAGAAGAATTTTTAAAGATTTTTTTTCCAATGTATTCCTATGTAAAACTCTGAGTAGCGTTTTACAAAAGGTCGCAAGATTTGGTCGACAAGATTTGGAGACAACTTGCGACTTAAACCAAAGTTGGTCGCAAGGTTGGGACTGCTAGAGGGTTGTCTGTCGTAAGTCGCAAATATTGTTGCTATGGTAAAAAAAATCTTTTAAAAACATGGCGTCATATTTCTTATTTCAAGTGAGTGTGAGGACAAGGAAAATTTCCAGAGAAAACCACGGATGCTTACAGATAGATGAAACCTGCTGGATTACCTGATTGATGGGGAAATCAGAGAGAGGGATAGGCTACCCTACAATACAAGTTGCAGCTGGTGGAGTTGGTGAGGGGTGACATCCAAAGACCAACACGGCGCAGTACCCCATTTCACCCACCATACAAGTAAAATGTCTCTGCAATCTTCATGTAATTCATCACATTTACAGTCAGCCTGAACAAAACTTTTTATTTGTAAACGTCACTTCTTGAAACGCCATATAGAATTTTGGGGGAGTGGATCAAAGATTCAAATTCTCGGAAGCAAGTGCCCCTTCGGGACAAATCTTTACTATATATTTTCTCTGTTATTTAAAGTATTCATACAAAGGGATACGTGCAATTTTACAGCGCGTATATATTAAATTTCTATTAGTATATAGGTCCCTACAAGTACGTTATGGTTTCATCTATATAAATTAGGAGAATGGTAAACATGGACAATTCAAATACACATACACGTTATAAAATTTATGACCACACTAGCTTTAGATTTAATATCATTCATTATAAGTGTACCGAGCAATGTTTATTCCAGAAATAAAGGGAGGGGTAAACATTGTTAACTCCCCTGCAGGAATCATCTGTACGAAACATTTGTATATAATCTAGTTGTCCACGATTTGTGGGGCTGACCACAACTGGACAGACTTTCCAAAGTTACGCACATAGGAGAATATTATTAATATTAGTTTGCAATTAATTTATTGTCAAATTGTTTGAGCTCACGTATCTTAATGATTACTAAATGTGTACTGTATAACACAGTAATGGTTCACATAAATAATAAACACCTATAAGATTATAAGGGTATTGTTAAATGCAATTACAACTACATTTGTATATTAAAGTATCAGTAGAGTGAAACAATAAGTTTCGCTCTCGGTGCAACAGAAACAGAATTTACCCATTTTAAAATATAACAGTACATAAAATTCAACTAATAAAAGAAATGATTGCTTGCATAAAAAAAATTAACACTTCATGTAAATATCGAACCAAAAGTTTTTCGATTCCATTGCAGTAGATGGATAACGCATAGTACTGAACTATCATCGCTACACACACGATGGAAATTTTAAAACAACAATGTAGCACCACATTTACACATTGGAAATTTTTTTTTCGAAAAAGTTCATTTTCTATTGAGAGATGACCCAGAGATAGCAAATGTTAAGAAAAACGTGTTTACAAATGTAACATTTTGTACAAAATGACTCGTCTACCAAATTTGAGTTATTCTTTTTTAGCAAATTAAAACACAATTTCAGGAAAATATTTCCCTTTCCTATTTCACAGGAACCGATACGTCAAAAGAATGCTAAAATTTCATGTGACAGATAGATAAAATTTTCACTTTTCGAGTGCGCCCAGATTCCTGCCGAATGCCAATCTAAAGTGTCCTTGTTCTTTGAGATTTATATTATACAACCTTGTTCATTTTGAAGTCGTTCTTGTATTATTGTTGTTTGTTCAATGTTCATACAGTAGGTCCGCCTATAGAACACTAAATATTAAGGAACACCAGTTGCGTGTCTCCACGTTTTTATTCACTCAAAAACGAACTACAAACATTATATAAAACGAACTAAGATAGCTCGTACGTATAATGTTTCATCTCCCTTTTCTTCGATGTTTTTGTAATTCATATGAAATATCAGAAATAAAATATAAAGTTTGAAGAATGATTTGATGTAAAGAAATCTCATTAAAATTTCATTAACATACATTCACAACTTATATTGATGGTTTTATTTTTGGAAACAAACTCTACCTGGGCGTGTACATGTAATATAGGGTTTGTTTTCCTTTTTGACATATTTTCAAAATTTGGAACATGTGGGGAAGGGGATGATGATTTGTCTAGCGAGTGTTTAATGAGACTTAACTCTGAGTCATCTGTTTGAGCCTCTGGCAGAATAGGCAAATTAGCACCAAAACTGCAAGTAGGTTTATTTGTTTTCATGAGATGGCGCCTATTCCTACGGTAAGTACCTCCATTAGGGGCATTGATGACGTATAACCTATCATCCACTTTTGAAAGCACAGTAGCAGACTTCCAAGTTTTGTCATCCTGTTCAAATCTAATACTATCTCCTACTTCAATAGGGGTAAGTGGTTTTGACTTTGTCAAAATACTGCTTTTGGTGTTCATGGTTTTCGGTTAACATGACCTTGACTTTAGGTGGTCAATGACCTTTGGTATAAGTTGATCAATAAGAGTTGGTACAATTGAGCGTAACTGTCTACTTTGGAGGAACTCTGATGGGGCATTACCAACTTCTAATGGTGTAGTTCGATATTCAAGAATACTTCAGTATGGGTCACCGTCATCAAGTTTAGCTTTCTCAAAAATACGTTTAGCAATTTGCACTGACTTCTCAGCTAAACCGTTTGACTGAGGATGCCTTGCGCAGGAAGTTGCATGAATACAGTCATTATCTCTTGAAAAAACTTAAAAATTCTTGAGAGGAATATTGGGGGCCATTGTCAGACACTATTTTTTGGGAGATGCCTAACCTAGCAAACATACTTTTAAGCTTCATATATTATAATTGTTCTGCTCTTTGTATCTTGAAGCTGGACGACTTCAAAGTGTCGACTGTAGTAGTCGGTAACAATTAGGAAATCTTTGTTGTCCCACAAGAACAAATCTGTGGCAACAATCTGCCAGGGATAATCGAGCACTGGGTGTGGTTGGAGGGGTTGCTTGGGGTTTGAGTATCTGTTTTTCAAACAAACATCACAATTTGACACTTAGTCAGTGATATCAGACAAAATTGTGGGCCAAAATACTGACGTACCTGCCCTCTTAAAGCTGAAAACTACTCATAAATAGGCACAGTCACACAGGTATATAAACCCTTCGATTTCGTTACACCCGATTGCACACTTGAAACTTGTGGCCGACATGTAGTATTCATTTCATGGTCTTAGATTTTTTTTTAGTTTACTCCTTGTTTTATGTGCATTTTCTGTTTGTAAATAATGCATTGACTTGTATATTTGATGTTACTTTTCTCCTGGCTCGAAAAAAAATGTGTAAAATTTGAAAATTTCATCGCGACCGAGTAACACGGCAATATAAGATGTACGTCTTTTCAGGTGAGACCTCTACAGCGTAATACTTTGAACTGCTAAGAGGTCTGTGGCTTATATAGGAGTTGTTGGGATAGCGCCGATGAAATAGAAATATGGCGGACAATGCCTTTTACGAGTAGTGTTCAGCTTTAAGTGATTTCTCAATACGACCTATGTGAATACATTATAGAATTTTAGCTCTAAAGGAGCGGGGAATCAAAATTTTCTACCTTTAAGCAAGATACCATCTGTGATGGTGAGTTCATCCCTGTGATTCCAAAATTCTATAATTTGAGGGGGGGGGGGGGCAGTCTCTATGGCATTCAGGCCAACCATTAAGTATGGTGTGTTTAAGTAACTGAAATTGTTCATCAGCATCTGATTCTCTCTCAATCTCGTTCAGCTTTCTGTCGCTGATAGGGAGGTTTGTCAGTACCGAGTGCACATGGGCTTCCATGTCTTTAGAAAGACATGGGAATGTTTCATCTACAAAATTGCGTGACATTTCCTTCTCTATCTGAGCGTACTGCACTTCACTCTGTGTGAGGCTCTTAGATGCAAACGCTATGGGTTTGCCTTCTTGCATTAAAGTTGCACCGAGACCGTATTTTGATGTATTACTCTGCAGTGTGGTGACCTTATGAGGGTCAAAGTAAGCTAATACAGGACTTGGACTATTAGTGATCAGGTCCTTGACCTTGTAAAATGCTTCAATTTGGGCACTATCCCAATGAAAAAATCACATCTTTGGCAAGTAGCATCCTAAGAGGACTTGTTATTTCAGACTTTTCCTTTGGGGGTTTCATGTCTCGCATAGCAGAGACTTTATTAGAGTCTGGACCCACACCATCTGAAGTAAGTAAATGACCAAAATACTTGACCTTTGTGACCCGACCTCTATTTTATCTTTGTTTAGCTTAACACCTTTCTCTTTTGACCTTGTAAAAACTTGACACAAATTCCTGTCGTGCTCTTCTCTAGTTTGACCAAACACAAAAATATCGTCAACTAGAGCTACGACACCATCAAGACCTTCATAACATTCATCTATCTTTCTCTGAAACTCATCTTGTGAGGACTTTAGTCCAAAAGGGAGTCTGAGATACCTGTAACGATCAAATGGCGTATTGAACGTAGTGAGGTAAGACGATGCATCTGACAACTTAATGGTCCAATACCAACTTCTAGCATCTAACTTGGTGAAGAATTTGGCTTTCGAGAGCTGGGGAAGGACATCCTCTAGGGTTTTCACTGGATTGATTGATTGATTGCTTGTTGTTTAACGTCCCTCTCGAGAATTTTTCACTCATATTGAGACGCCACCACTTGCCGATGGAGGGCTACAAATTCTGACTTATACTCGGCACTTACGGCCATTGAGCAGTGAGGGATCTTTTTCGTGCCAGCACCTACTGCGACACGGGACCTCGGTTTATACGGTCTCATCCGAAGGACCGGTCTCCACGTCCCACAGTGGGATTCGAACCCGCAACGTAAGGATCAACTCCTTACTCCACGACTCTAGAGCAGACGCTCTAACCGTTTTCACTGGATGATTGGGTCTAAGAATTGCCTTATTAAGGTCCTTTGGATCGAGGCAAACACGGAGTTTGCCGTTGGGCTTTTCAACAAGAACAAGTGAACTAACCCACTGAGTAGGCTTAGTAACCTTGCAAATAATACTCTGAGATTCCATTCTCTCTAACTCAGCTCTTAATTATTCTTGAAGGGCCAAAGGTACCCTCCGGGGTGGGTGTACTACTGGGTGTACATCAGGGTCAGTATGTATTGTACAATCCCCTGGGGAAAGATCAATACCTTCAAATACTTCTGAGAACTCTGACAAAACCTGACTAACATTCACGGGCTTACCACAAATAGCTTGCTTATCAACTGTATCCAAGTTGCAGGAATATACAAGTTTGATAGGACTAAAATCTAAACATGTTCGCATCCCTAAAATGGAAGGGGAGGTAGTCTCGACAACATGAAATGTAAGGTTCAGTGATTGACCTTTGTAGGTACAAGGAAGCTCTAGGCAACCAAGTGAACATAAGGAGTTACCATTGTAGGCAGACAACTTTTGATCAGTTTGTATCAGATTATATGCAAGGGTCAAATTCACCGAGTCAAAAACATTCTTTGGTAGTATGTTGAACTTGTAACCAGTATCTAATTTGAATTTGATAGACTTGTTTTCTGAACCAATAAGCAATTTACAAAATGCTTGATCATTGTTGTGATTGGTTTCAATAATATCAATGAAAAATTCAGGGTCAGAATCTGATTGCTCTGGCAAAGCCTGTAACTCATGACATGTAACTTTCTTAGAAAAATTTTTTGTAGCAAAATGATTCCATCCATTACAGTTTTTACATTGCTTCCCCTTCGCCGGATATTTTGCATGCTTTAAATGATCATACCCACACTTATCACACTCTTGTGTCTTCAACTTGTGATGATTCATAGGCTTAGTTTGCGGGAATCTTTTCTGCTCTGTATCCTTGGACACATGCTTGGACCAATGTTTTGAACTACCACGGTCAGTCTTTCCACTACTCGGGTGTCGCACATGACTAACTGCATGGACCTTTTGTGATGACATGGTCTTCAGCTGTTGTAGTGAATATTCATATGAATGTGCAATCTGTATTGCCTTTCCTAGGGTCAACTTTTCTCTTTCGGCGATGAGCTTTTCTCTGACCTTTTGTGAAGACGTGCCGAAAACAATTCTGTCACGGATCATTTCATCCTTGCTGTTACCATAGTTACAGTTTTCTACTAGTACTCGTAAACGTATCACAAATTGTTCTGTCGAGGCTCCCTGATTTTCGTTATTAAATTTAAACCTCGCAAAAATTGGGTTTAATGCGCTTTGTACCTTTTGTAATGCGGCTCGAGTTTCTTCTTATCGTCATTTGACAAGTCTCTCCATGTGTTTTATTTTGCGTTTTTTTCGCCAACCAACAACAGTAAGTACGTATCCTTAGTCTCTTCATTTTTCTCCGACAGCGGTCCCTTGAATATGAGATCCACGTGTGTCTGGAATTTTTTCCACTGTTATGGCAAGTTCGACGCTTCCCAGTCCATCTTGGGGGTAAGTGCGCCTGTCAAGTTAATGGCTGACTTCTGACACCATGTATCATTATCGTTTGTTCAATGTTCATACAGTAGGTCCGACTGTAGGACTCTAAATATTAAGGAACACCAGTTGCGTGCGTCCACGTTTTTATTCACTCAAAAACAAACTACAAACGTTATATAAAACGAACAATTCGTACATAGAATTAAGATAGCTCGTACATATAATGTTATAGTCACGACTCATTCCTTTAAGTTATCATCCTTTACATCGGATAGACTAGGTTCCTACAAGCTTATCTTTCAAAAAGATTGGTGAGCTAGCGCTGTAGCATAATAAAATACAGAAGATATCGGAACCATTTGTTAAAATTGCTGAATCGATTAATTATTAGTAAGAAGGCACATTGGAGCACTGGGGGGTTGAGTCGGGGGGTGGGGGTGGGGGTTCATAATTCAGAATGGTGACACTAAGAGTGGGCTTCACGTCGGCAATGGCATAACTCGTAACTGTGCTTTAAGCATTCTGTATTCTGCTGTTATTTCAATTTGGAGGTGAAAAAAGGTCAGTAGAACCAATGAGCACCTAGTTTAAAATATTCCAGTGTGGTACTGTTTTTTTGGCAATCGCATCTTCTCGGAACTTTCCGGCAAGCTCGGTAAACATATCCGAGGTTGCGGCGGTTTTCCGAACTTGCCGGAAAAATCAATGAATGTAGATTAGAAAAGCTAGGTATTCATTACAATTGTAATATGTACTGTGGGTTCTCCAGTCATGGAGAAAGAGATATATAATTTTCCTTGGGTTACCTACGCCTACAATTGATTGGTCAAAATAAACTAAACGAGAATTACGTGGAATTAATTTTACTGAGTATGTAGAAAACAATGATTCTCTAATGATTCTTTAATCAATGTTCCTAAGCTATTCAAGGTCTGAAACCCGTTGTTAGAGCTTCCAAAGCTCCCATACCTTATGTTTGAGAGCAGTGTTTCCAAACACTCTCTAATAAACCTTTAAAGTAGGTTTGGAACCTAATGTACTCCAAATGGTATGTCAGCAGTATTTTGAGACCCGCAAATGAAGCACAATAAATTCCTTACCTTTAAAACGATCCGCGCTGTACACCGGCCGACAGACTAACTTGAGCATCAGTGCTCTCCTGTATTTATTGTCTTACCCAAAGACACTGAGTCATCGTCTTTGTCTTGGTTATTACAACGTTTGATGTAACATAGCTAACACACTAGGAAGCACCTGATTGATAATTTGCATATTATTAACTTGATCAAGGAAATTTCTACTACACAATTTTAGAAATAACAGTCTTCGTTTTATAAGACCAGAGTAGCTGTTACTTTTTGTTCATATACGTGCAGGATAGACAACAAAACGGGTACGGTCTACTAGTCCAAAGGTCCACTAGTCCGACGGTCCACTAGTCCGAAGGTTCACTAGTCCGACGGTCCACTAGTCCGAAGGTTCACTAGTCCGAAGGTTCATTAGTCCGAAAACCCAATATAGTGCGTTAGTTATACAGTTCACAGTGCATGTTCGGCTCTGTGAAATTGTTCTATAGTTCCTGAAGTATGTGGTTGAAATTTGGACCACAAAAATACTACGACTAAAAAGTATTAATAAACTTTGAAACTTCCTTCTTATATTCATATTCCCACATCTCAACTCTTTCTTTCTCCACCGTTGACCGTTCAAGGTGGCCTTGTGGTAGGGTGCTCGCTTTGTGATCGGGAGGCCCGGATTCGATTTTTGCGATTCGTCCATTCAAAGTCGTTAACGTAGGGGAAGTCGTTAACATATATATAGGTATATATTTTTCCTACGGGTCTTTCGAATAAGACCGTAAACACCGAGGTCCATTGTCACAGAAGAAAAAAGCCAAAGGGAAGTATCCAAAATAAATGAAATTCTTTGATCTGCATATGCCTCTATAATTGTAAGGTTTAATAATTCTAAATATGCGGTATGAACAACATTGATACACTGTGGGTTGGATGTTAGTTTCCAGTTCGAATGTAACACTAGTAAATCTCATTAGCTTATTCTTCCATCTTCAATAGAGTTCTAAAACAATGAAACAGAAATAACTTAGAATTTTAAAAAACGTTTTACAGTCATCGTTTTTTTAACATGAACAGCTGTGCTGACAAATTGAACATGACCGTTACGGCATAATGCAAATTTGTATTCGCAGACGCCCGAGTTATAGCAGACATTCGACAAACGTAAAAAAAAATTTACAAACAAAACTTTTGCAGTAGCATATGTGTAAAAAAAAAAATCCCTCACCGAGATCGACGGAAAAAACCCCGCTTCCCTTGGAGGGTTGAGACAATTCCAGTGGCTTTTACAAAGTGGGATTCAAAGTAGTTTTCTTTATTGGTTGCTGGGTATATAAATCTAATAAATTTCGAAAATCTTACCGATGTCCGGCACAGAAATTCCCCGACGAACCAATCGAAAAAGAAAACACCAGAACAATACGTGAAAAATTATTTCCGGGGGAGGGGGCATGCAATCAACTGCTTCTTTTTCCTACTCGTACTTAATCTAACCCCTTTCAAAGGGAAATTTCTTCTTTCTCTGGGGTCCAAGTTTTTGTTATGTATATCTTACATTTCTTTTAGAAATCTGTTAATTCTGGTAGCGTTGGTCTAAACCTCATGACCCCCCCCCCCCCCTATCGCTGGATCAAATACTGAACATTTACCGATCTCACGGTAAAGTGACAGTATCATGGATATCTTTTCTTTAAAAAATATACAAGTCACTGTTTTAGCGTGTTTGATCCTAAAATTTTTATTTGAAATTAACTTGTCCATAACAAATGAAAACTAAGCTTAACTTTTGAACACGGGCTAGCTCGGCGGGGAGCTTAACTGGGGTTAATTTACCCCTGATTAGAGAGAAATATAGATAAATATTCATTTAATTGTTTGCTCATAGAAATAAATGCCTTTTTAAAGTGTACAACATTGGTGAACAACTTGAGTTCTCTGATGTATGTAGTATCTTTACTGATACTGCTTTACGACGTACGATATGGCATTCCGGTATTCTTCCAAATTACTATCCCCATTTTGGTACTGACATCGTAAGCGCTTAATTCTCTGTTCCAATCGTCTCCACTTTCTTTTGACTGGAACCTCCGCAGCACCCTGCACCCTAGCTCTAAGGTTTCTTCTTTCAAGCCTTTCTTCATCTTTCATCTTTCTGATGAAAAGAAATAATGATGGGTGTTTCCTTTGGACAGATGTGTTCCACCTGTAATGGAAACCTACAAAACCAAAATTAAAAATTAGAATAATATACTAGGCCTACAGTAATATTTCTAGCCGGAAAGGGTAGCTCAAATAGCTTGTGTCTACAATATTCATGCATACACACGATACATTAGAGAAAATTATGATACACGATATAGAAGCTGACCTTTAATCAGATGAAATCCCTGTTAGTTTTATGCATTGTTATATTTGTATTTTTTTCACTTCATATGTTCTTGTAGCAAGAGTAGGTAAAAGTTTGTAATCACAGTGATCTACAACTTCGACTTGTTACCAAATCTTTCCAAACTGTGTATGAAAATGGTGTCTCTAACCTTTTGAAAAAAAATAATCATGGAAAAACAGGCAGAATGACAATGATTAAGGGCCCCCATATCAAAAATCCGTCCCTAGAAAATATGTGGACCCCACCATCACGAAATAGGTGTTTTTCACGTTAGGGAAATGGATTTCACGTTTTTGCTTTTGTATTATTTGTTTGTTTGTTTTGTTTTTTTTTTTACCCCCGGTAAAAAAAAACCCTGGAGTCGCGCCTGAAAATATTATGATTCTTAAAAGCTTATAAAGAAATTTAACATTTCTTTGTCCATACCTTCCACAATGTTGTTTGTTCTGCAGTCTTTCTCACGTCCATAAACATTCCAAAGACGCATTGGAAAACGTCCGTTCAGGTAATTATTCTCAACAAAGAGGAGAAAATCTTGGACAGCCGCATATCTGTTTATGACCCTCCTTGTGGAATTGGCACCAGCTAATCGACTGAAATTCTGCCTTAAGAGAGCAATAGGCAAATGACCAAGAGCCATGATTTTTCTCAAAAGACGCTGTACTCTTCTGCTTTGTCTATATGATCGTGCTAAGCCAGGGTCTTGTATTTTTCGCCACAAGCTTTGGCAAAAATGAAAATAACAACCACAAATTGTAGTATGTGGCAACTCAGTTTCAAGGGCAGATATAAGGGAGACTTCGAAATCACAAACCACCTTTGTTGGATGCCAACGCCTCCCTGTAATTTGTCGCACTTTACCCTCGACATGTTGTAAAAGCTGCCTATACTGACCAATAGTCTTTCCAGTTAATAGGCACATAACAAAAGTAAAAACCCTACCTAGACGCTTCCCGTGAATTGTAACAAATTGTAAGTAAGGCTCGGGACAAGTTTTAAATGTTCCGTCGATGTAAATGGTGCTGCAGCGACTGAGTGTTCTATAGTTTTCTCGTGTTGCAAACACGGAAATACCCCAGTCATTGTCTATATGGCTTAGGAAAGACTCACCGGCCCAGTTCTCTGTCCATTCGTTCTCTATTAGTACGTCTTCAATATCGTGCGAAATAGCTGGGATTAACGATGCCCGAACTCGCTGTAATTTTGATCTCACTGTAGAAAAATCGGGCAGCTCGTCATACTCTTCATTATCGACAAAGGCACCAATCACGTCATTATATACCCTTTTGATTGGCTTGGTTGGGTCCAGCTTTACAATTTTCTTAGCTTGATTAAACACCTCATCTGCATTGATGCGATCGTCATCTTCAGGGTGGCTGTGATCTTCCACCTTAGTATTTTAAAACATTGTGAATTTACCGTTTGAAAGAAAAATGAAAAGAAAAAAAAGACCATATTTTGTGTGAAATGCCACTAGTAATTTAACTTAATATATTATTACAACTGCTTCAATATATATACTAAAAAATGTACTTTCGGCTATTGTCAGAAAAAAAAACTGTTGGATATATTGAGTGTACATTTAGATTGTATTGGAGTAAGAAAACCTAAGAATTCATGAATTGTGAACAATTCTCTGGTGTATAAAAGATTTTTTTCGTAACATTTCGTTCACAAAAGGCTTTAACTTGACTGTGGAAGAATTTCGGTTGAACGTACAAATATAATTTAAAAGTAATTGTTGAATGTAGACATAAAAAGAAAATATATATTAAAAAAATGTTTTTAGGAAATAAATAATATTTTACTTGAAAAAGACATTAATGGTAATCTAACAACCAAGCTTTATTATAAACGTGATGACTTTAACTTTTCAATCGTCAACTTCCCTTACTTATGCAGCAATGTACCTTCATCACCTACATACGGGGTATATATCTCTCAGTTGATTCGATACGCAAGAGCATGCTCTACGTATGTACAATTTCTAAAACGAGGTAATTTATTGACAAACAAGTTGATGAAACAAATAGCTAATTTGGGGTTAAAAAGGCGAAGATGAAAATCAAGGTACTCCTATCCTGAAGTTAACGAAGAAAGCAAAGCCAAACCAGATCGAGGGACTACTCTCATTATTATTATGTTATTAGCAGTACCTTTTGTAAAGAATACTGGTTGAAAACAAGAGAGACAAAACCATACAGTTGGATCAGGTAGGCCAATATAGAATTTACAAGGAAGTTGAAATAATGAATGAAGCTGTTCTTAATTTTACAAAATATAGTGCTATTAATCTTGCTATTGGGGGAGGGGGTAGTGTAAAAGTCTACAGTCTTACACTCTTACTAGGAACAGTAATGTTTGTAAAGCCTTCTTAGTGAAGAACTAAGGTGCTTTTCATCTTTTATTGTTGACAATAACTAGTATATGTAGTAAGAAACTGAAAAATAAACAACACAGTCATAAGTACAATGTTACAAAAAACAAACAAGTAGAACAGCACAATAAATGCAATTCAGGCAGACTTGTACATATCACTATGTGTATTTCACTCTATAGATGACTATAAAAATATCTCTCTTTACATACTTGATTACATGTGTATGATATTTTGTAAATAAAACAATATGCTAACTTTACATGTAATGAGACTTGATGTTTTGACTAGATAATTCAAGTTGATAATAATGATAATGAGTCGTACATGCATTATTCGACTGAGTACGTGACATACGCAGACAATGCGAGTCCTGACCTTGACATAAACTACCGTTACTAAATTTAGACATAAGTACAAAATCATGTTACATAAAATTCTACACATTCTACAAATGCATACATCTTTATGTTGCACAAGGTTCATAATAAATCACAAAGAAATGTAACAAACATGAAAAACTTACTCTATGCGGGACTAAAACAGCCAAATATGCCACAAGGCTTGCAGGTTTGATGAGGGCGCCATGCCGTACACAATACACAAATGGAAATGGTGTGTAAAAAACAAACAGATAACGGATTCAATCCGGATTGAAATAATAAGGGGGGACAACTCAATGTCGCGTAACAATACACTCCCCGTCTGATTTATCACCCTTACACAACTTTACCCTACATTGACACTGATAGCACAAAAAATACTACTTGTATGTAAAAAATACACATTAAACAAAATATCAAAACATGGTATACACAAACAGAACGTCAGATGTAAATCAAGTTCATGTACTAAGTGGTTACACTGTAATCAAAGGAATCACTTCCGTAGCGGGTCTGATGAAGAGGCATGGCTTTCCTTCCTTGAGTATACGTACTTGGATTTTGCGTATCAGACCGTCTGATTCACTTGGAAATACACGGTTTATGATGCCGACTGGCCAGTCATTGCGCGCACTTTCTTTATCATGTAGTAGAACGACATCCCCATCTTTAAGATTGCCCACTGAATCTTGCCATTTCTGACGAGGTTGTAGGGTGGAAAGGAACTCATTTTTCCATCGCTTCCAGAAAGTGTTAGCCATGACCTGGACCATTTTCCATTGACTTCGGTACATGTCCTTGACATCAAGATCCTGGAATTCACTGGGTACTTCATGGGTTTTCTGTGTCAGTAGAATCTGTGGCGATAGAACGAATGGTGCTTCAACATCAGTAGATACAGGTACCAGTGGCCTCGAATTCATAATAGCCATGACCTCTGCCATAAAGGTTGTCAAAACCTCATGGGTCAGCTTCCCATGTTTGGTATCCATAAGCATTGCCTCAAGGATGCGACGGGCAATGCCAATCATCCTTTCCCATGTGCCTCCAAAATGTGAGGCGTGGGGAGGATTAAACCTCCATACAATACGCTTGTCTGCAAGAAATATCTTCAGGCTGTTGTCTTCCACATTCACTACATTCATCTGCAGCTCCGCAGCAGCCCCAACAAAATTTGTCCCTCTATCTGATCTGAATTCAGAGACTGTACCACGAACTGCCACAAACCTTCTCAAGGCGTTGATGAAAGAAGAAGAGGTCATTTCCTCAATGACCTCGATGTGGACTGCTCGGCTATACAAACAGGTAAACAACACTGCCCAACGTTTTGAGTGTGCGCTGCCCCCTCTTGTTCGTCTCGTGATGACATTCCAGGGGCCAAATACATCCACCCCAACAAAGGTGAAGGGTGGTGACTTAGTAAGTCGGACTTTGGGTAGATCCGCCATTTTCTGACATAGTGGTTTCCCTCTCATCTTGCGGCAGGTCACACAGTGATGGATGATTGATGACACCAAGCGTTTCCCTCCAGAGATCCATAGGCCTTCACTTCGTATAGCACCTTCCGTCAGATGACGCCCTTGGTGGTAGATTTTCTTATGATGATGACGAACCAATAGCCGGGCAATATGGCTCTTGCCAGGTATCAGGATAGGTGTCTTCTCCCTCACAGGTAAGTCAGACAATTTGATTCGTCCAACAACTCGCAGCAAGCCGCCATCAAGGTAAGGAGACAGAGTCAGAATGGTACTGTCTTTCGGAAGGGGTCTTCCTGCATGTAGCGCACTTAGTTCTTTCTGATAAAATTGATGTTGAATCTCTTTAATGATCAGCATTTCCGATTCTCGACGAGATGTTTTATCCACTCTCCTTGCTTCCTTCCTGAGCCTTTCCTTGATGAAGGTGATGGCCCGCACAAGGCTCAACCAACTACCAAAGCGACTGAAACGTGACGTTCCTAAAGTTGGTTTGGTTGACATGGTCTTGAGGGTCACTATCTCTGGTCGTACTTCACTGTCCTGCTCTGGGTTCACCAAAGAAAACGACTCATTTTGGAAATGGTTTGTATTTCCTTTGAGGAAGTCTGGTCCCTTTAACCACAAACTATCACATAGCTGTTCTGGCAAAAGTCCACGAGTTCCTTGATCAGCAGGGTTTTCATCAGTTGTTACATAATTCCATTGGCGTGGAGAAGAACTCTTGCGTATCCTGGAGACACGGTTGCATACGTAAACATAAAAACTTCGGCGCTCATTCGACAGATACCCCAGCACCACTTTGCTGTCAGAGTAATACGTGATGTCCTCTAAGGGTAAGTCAAGTTCCTTTGAAAGCATCTCACCAAGCTCCACAGCTAGAACGGAAGCACAGAGTTCCAATCTTGGAATCGTGTGTCCACTTCGTGGGGCAACTTTACATTTGCCGAACACAAACCCTACAGAAATCTTCTCATCCACAGTCATACCCCTTATGTAAGCACATGCTGCTACTGCTTTTTCAGATGCATCACAAAAGATGTGTAACTTTTTGCCAACACACTTGCTGTATGATACAGACAGTAGGCACCAGGGGATGTGAACACCATCAAGTCTCGTCAATTGTTCTAACCACAGTTTCCATGCACTCATAGTTGCTGTAGGTAAGGGATCATCCCAACTCTCAATCCCAGTAAATGCTTCTCTCATGATCAGTTTACCATTTAAGATTATGGGCGCAATGAATCCAAGTGGATCAAATAATCCATTTACAGTGGACAGCAGTCCTCTCTTGGTCAAGGGCTTCTGCTCTTCTGAGGCTTTGTACATAAAAGTATCTGTAGCTAGGTTCCAACTTAAACCCAAACTGTGGTGTACAGGTAAGTCATCTCGATCTAGATCAAGCTGTTCCATGGATTTTGCAAGATCCGCGGATGGAAATTGTAGCATCACTTCTTCACTGTTTGATGCGATCTTGTGTAGTTTCAAATTTCCAGCTTCCAGGAGTGTTTTCTGAGTTCGCTTCAGAACATCAACTGCTTCACTAAAACTGGGAAATGATGCCAACCCGTCATCAACATAAACGTTTCTGGTCTCAAACTGCTTAACATCTTCCTTACAGTCAATTTTTACACAACGTCTAAGTCCATAAGTGGCAACCGCCGGAGAAGGTCGGTTGCCAAAAACATGGACGCACATTCTGTACTCCTGTAATTCTTGTTTCGGATCATTATTTCGATGCCAAAAGAAACGAAGAAAATCTCTGTGAGGTTCTGCCACATGGAAACAGAAAAATATCTGCTGAATGTCTGCAATCACAGCAACCGGCTCCTTTCTGAATCTCATGAGCACTCCATCCAGACGATTCATCAGGTCTGGTCCTTGCATTAACACGTCGTTCAGGGAAATGCCTTCGTGTTTGCAAGAAGAGTCAAACACAACTCGTATTTTATCCTTTTTCTTGGGATGGTACACCCCAAATATAGGCAAGTACCAACATTCTTGTCCAGGTTGAACGGCAGGTGCAACTTCAGCATGTCCAGAGTCAAAAAATGCCCTGCATAAAACTAACAAAGTGTTCTCGTTTAGTTGGATTTCGTCGCAGACTCCCTTGTAGCATCAGTGCTCGTTTCAGTGCCACCGATCGATTGTTTGGTAGTTTTTCTCGGGTCTCCCGAAATGGTAATGGTGCTGTCCAATTTCCAGCTGAGTTCTTAGTAAAGGTTTTATCCATCAATCCAGAAATTGGATGTCCTCAATGGATTGTCCTAAATCGTTGTCTTTATGTTGACGTTTGAAAATGGGGTCATCATTCATACAAGTATTTAGTGATATATTATATTCACAATTGTCAAATACACTAATGCGTCCACTCTGGTTCACAGTAGTTTTCATGACGTTCACGCTTGCAGGTGGATGGAGATTTCCAAGACAGACATTTCCAATGAGGACCCAACCGAGAGCTAGCCTCTGAGCGAAAGGGGTTCCTCGTGGTCCTGTACGTTGATCCTCTATGTGATGGGCCTCTGGCAGATCCCGACCAATCAACAATAGAACTTGGGCCTTTGGATCCAGAGGAGGAATATCTACCCCACTGAAGTGCGAATGAAACTGAACAATTTCTGGTGTTGCTATTTCACTCTTTTCCTCTGGAATTTGCTCACACTCTGTAACCAGCGGAAGCTGTAAAATACAGGAACTGTCTTTTGACTCCACCATAAGTCCAAGGGCTTGTCTTCCACTTCGTTGAAAGGTACCAGCACATGATTTCAGTGAATATGTACAGTACCCGCATCGTTATTCTTTACAATTCTATCGTGTCCTATCGTGCGTTTATCCTATCGTATCGTGCGTGTATCCTGTCGTATCGTATCCTATCGTATCGTGTTTTGCGTTTATCAGGTTTTGAGTTTTCTATCGTGTTTTCCGTTTATCAGGTTTTGCGTTTATCGTGAAGATCGTTTATCAGGTTCTATCGTGTATCGTGTTTTGCGTTTATCGTGTGCATTCGTAAACCCTCGCTTTTTATCTTTACCTTGAAAAGAAACACCCGGGATATCTCGAGTTCATCTTTCGTTTTGTTAATTTATTTAGGATTAATCTAACTATTGAACAAAAAGAGAAATTAATACTGTAACTCTGGTATATTTTTAAAGAAAATAAATAAATAAACGTCAAGTACCGTCACCAAGCAGAGAGCATAAATCGAAAGTCAAATTCTATTTTTGTACATGAAATAATCGATCTACTATTTGAGTTTTTTTTTTTTAAAATTTGTCGATAAGTAAGAAATATTTTTGTCAAAGATAGAAATATTATAATCCCTTTACACAGTCAGAGTCACAAAAGCGAGACCTTTATTAACTTTGTTTTGATAATTATAGAAACATAAAACATTAGGTATGTGTGCAAAAAATAAATTATAAATAAAAAAATATCAGTATCTTTATTAAGGCTATCCTTTTTATCAATAACGGAAACATAAATTTTTCTATGCGCGCAAGTTTTGTTGTTCCTTTGTATTATTATTTTTCTCTGATAAGTATATATTATAATATAGATGTTTGCCATTCATATTTAACTACTGCATTTAGAAGATGTAAAAAATAAATAAATAAATAAATAAACAAAATCACACAAATTTTTATTATACATCTTACCTACTTCGGCGCGGAGATGAAGTAATATATACCGTAACTTAGTGACAGGTTGAAGCGTTCCCGTGACAAGAGAACTTACACCTACCTGCCTAATCAGTACACTGTCTTCTTGTCAAGTCAAGACACCCCCCCCCCTTTTTTTCCCTACATGACCAGCCCGTGTGTATTCAACGTAGACATACCTGAACTCTAGCTCTCACCTGGTGTCAAGTATTTAACTTGAACCTACTGGGTTTCAATGAAATGCATCTACTTATTTTCTGGATATTGTTCATAATTTTTATGAACAACACTTAATTAAAAATTGAAGATTTTATACATCTTTTTTTTTTATTTATACGACTGCATGCTCCCTCCTAGCTTAATCTTACAGGCCTATAAAATACCAAAATAAATACAAAAGAATGGAAATGCGATGTTTTTTTCGGATAATAGATGATGACAGATCTAGTGACGTTTATAAATTTTATTAAATTCGATTTTTTTCGCAGGTCTCCTTCCTCATATATACATATACAATGTATGTCCTTGGAATGTACTTGGAATATGTAAATAATTTCTATGTGCACGGGATATGTGTGACATATATATTTATATATAGGAGAGTAATTATTCACAGTCCAGTGCACGGTCTGTCTCAATGCAACTAGCAATTTCAGCAATTTTAAAACGTAAAAAAAAAAATAATTAATTTATATAAAATATAAATCAAATTCGTAAAAACTTGGAGGAGAAAGCATCAACCTTAAAATAATTATAACAATAATTTTTCAATCCCCCCCCCCTCTCCTGAATTATGATTTTTTTTTTTTTTTTTGTAAGATTTGAATTATTAAACACAAACTATTAAAGGCGATTTTGGATACTTCGCAGACTTCTAGCAAAAGATATTGATTCCAAATATTTCATTTTTTTTTACATGTTTTTCCGTAAAAATAATCAATGTTTGTTATGAATTTCATAAGGTTTTATTTGTTAAAATAATGAATATATTTATAGTGTTTCGTGAATTTATTGCACTTGGGTGTAAAACTTCGCTTGTCTACGGACTCAAAATTCAAATTTAACGATTCGAAGGAATTTTCGACATTTGTATAATTACACAAAAAATCGCCTAATTTCCATGATAGAGAAATTATTCTTAAAATAATTACAGTTTGAATTTGATGACGATCAATTTTATTGACAAAAACACCATATCTTTTACAAAGCATAATTTCTTCAAATGTTTTATGATGATAAATTTAAAATGTTTTATCATTTAGATTTGCGGCTTTGTAAGTAATTAAAATTTTCATACTATAGTCTATCAAAAAGAAAACTTTTCGTCTTGTCAAAAAACGTTTCGCATTTTGAAACAATCCTATCAGGTTTTGCGTTTATCCTATCGTGAAGATCGTTTATCAGGTCTATCGTGTTTTGCGTTTATCGTATTTTGCGTTTATCGTGTTTTGCGTTTATCGTGTTTTGCGTTTATCCTATCGTGCGTGTATCCTGTCCTATCGTGCGTGTATCCTATCGTATCGTGCGTGTATCCTATCGTATCGTGTATCCTGTAAAGAATAACGATGCGGGTACTGTAGTAACTGAAGACATCGGAATATCCAATGCACCAAACAATTCAGGCCTCGCGAGTGTATGAGTACTCTGGTCATCTATCAAGGCATATACATTGAGGGATTTTTCTGGATGGTTCATTGGGTAGACCTTGACTAATAGAGTCTTAGAACAAGATCTCCCCGTAAAGTTTTTGCCGCACAGTTCTGTACAGAGTGAACTCATATTTGATCTCTCCCCATCGTAATGTGACCTGGTTGAGATGTCCAATATCTTGTTGGATTTCTCCCCGCCATGATATGACCTCCGTGCAACATCCCACTTGGTAGACATATCACCAATGTGTAGAGAAGTAGGATGATTCTTGTTTCCACAAATGTCACACTTCACAAATGCACTACAACTTGCATAACCATGTCCTGTGGAATCACAACACTTAAAGCAGAAGTTGTAATCCTTCAGCAGTTTCTTTCTTTCATTTAGAGTCAATTTCTGGAAAGTCTTGCACTGATTAAGTTTATGTCTATTCACATGTAAAAAACAGTTGTTTCCTATGCTGACACTAGTAACTTCTTCTGTCGTTTTCACAGTCGTTTTCTTCACCTGAACATCATTCTTGCGATAGGCGTCCCTACGTCGTGAATCAGGGTTGGAGCGATTTACGGTGTCAGCAGCTGATTCACACGTGCCTTGGTAATTAAAGCTTGGATCATTACGGATCCTACTCATTTCCGTCACAAACTGGACCAGATAGGTAAAGGGTGGATATGTGACTCTGTGTTGTGAATTATAACTTGTTGCACGCGTCGTCCATTTTTCCTGCAAGTTGATTGGAAGCTTTGCAACAATTGGACGCATGCCTGTGGATGAATCCAAGTAGAGAAGAGATCGACTTAAGGCAGGGTCCTCCATTCGCAGCTGCACTTCGCTCAGTAGATCTGCTAATTCAAAAAGCTTTTTGTTGTCTTTCACTGTCAGTTTGGGGAAATTCGACAACCTCGACTTTAATGATGTTTCAAGCAGGACTGGGCTTCCATACCTGTCATCCAGACGACTCCACAGCTTCTCCAAAGCTTTCTGTGGGTTATTGATATTGGCAGTCCGTATGCTAACTGCATGTTTCTTAGACTCGGGTCCTAGATATCGAATCAGTAAGTTCAGCTCTTCTCTCGGACTGGCATTAAGTTCTTTTGTAAGTACATCAAAACTATCCTTCCACGACTGATAAGTCTCTGGACGATCATCAAAGGTGACTAAAGACCAACGCAGCAGGTCTTTCTTATTCATATAGTTAGCAAATTCACTTAGTAAGGCAGGTTGAGTAACTTGTGGCTGTACTGGACTACTATGATTGGTTGGTTCGATGGTAGGTGGGCATCCATTTGACTTTGTGGTTGGTGACATAGCTGGTTGTGTGGATGACGCTACTTGGTCCTCATGACTCGGCCTCACTTCTGACATAACTTGGTCCTTAGGCCTTGCACTCGTCAGACTAGACTGTTCAGGTGTAAAAGCTTCATAGACTGTCTGTACATGTTGATTGTCCAGGCTCGTATGGAAAACTGGTACACTATCAGTTATCTTAACAGTGTCAGTGACAGCATTGCACTCACTATTCATTGGTTGATCACTAAAGTGTTTGTTAAGAATGTCAGTGTTGTCTAGGTCATCACTCACAGAATGATCTTCGTCCCACATTCCGAATTCATCTTTCATTCCAAGGTATTCTGCATCAGCTACTGCAGCTTCCTTTTTCACTGAAAGAACGTCCATTTTGGCTTTTAGTATTGCCTCTTCTTGTCTCATCTTTGCTTCTTGTTCAGCGAACTTAAGTTTTACTCTGGCAGCTTCTCTTTTTGCTCGATGCCTGCCTAGAAGTGATGCAGCACTTGATGAGTAACTAGTGCTTCTTGCAGACTTAAAGCTGCTGGACTTCGCTTTTGTCTCTAAAAACATCTTTACTCTTCACTTTTCTATAAAACTGTTCAACACGTTCAGAATAGGTGGCTTTAAGGAG